TTCCTTCCTTCCTTTCTTTCTTTCTTTCTTTCTTTCTTTCTTTCTTTCTTTCTTTCTTTCTAAGATTTATTTATTTATTTATTTTTGTATATAAGTACACTGTAGCTGTCTTCAGACACACCAGAAGAGGACATTAGATCCAATTATATATGGTTGTGAGCCACCAAGTGGTTGCTAGGAATTGAACTCATGACTTTTGGAAGAGCAGCCAGTGCTCTTAACCGCTGAGCCATCTCTCCAGCCCCGTCAGCCTGATTTCTTACAGAGTCCAGGACTACATTTCCAAGGGTGGCACAGCCCACAGTGGACTGTGCCCTTCCACAGCCATCACTAATTAAGAAAATGTCCTTCAGGCTTGCCTACAGCCTGACCTAATCAAGGCATTTTCTTAGCTGAGGTTCCCTCCTTGTGGATGACTCTAGCTTGTGTCAAGCTGACATAAAAACCAACCACCATATTCTGTCATTTTAAATCTCTAAAGCATGCATCTGGATGTGGTGGGAAGGCTCATTTTTTCTTTGTCTTGTGTTTTGAGTCTCACTCCATACCCGAGGCTGGCTTAGTACTTACTATGTAGTCCTGGCTGGCCTTGAACTCAAAGCAATTCTCCTGCCTGAGTATCCCAAGTGCTAGAATTATATGTGTGGGCTACCACAACTACCACCTCACCAGCACCGTGCTGAGTCAGGTCCAGACTTCCCGCTCATGACCTTTGGGCAAATAACCACAGCCCTGACAGACTCATCAAGGAATAAAACAGTCCTCTGTGCTAACAGAGAAGGTGTTTTGGAAGTATCCTTCATACTTCATACTTCTACTATTGAGGGGAAGGGTCAGCAAAGAACTCCGTGGTATGAGACGGTGCATCCCTGTAACCCTATAAAGCTGGCCACAAGGTTCCTTTTTAATTTCCCAAAACCCATGGTAAATACTGGTACACTATGTACCAGCCTCCTAATTTAGCAGCATTTGCCGCTGCCCGCCACACTGCTCCTGCTTTTCCCTTTCGACCCTTTGCCTGGTCCGGGACCATGGAATCTCGGAGTACTGGGGATTTGATTAGATAGATTTATCTGCCATGACTGTTTGGCTGACTGATTTGATTTCCTGTTGCTGCTGCGAACACATGGTTATATGTCGTTGCAGGGAAAGCATTTATAGGTTGCTGCCTCAGACCACCCCTGAGAACGTGAGCAAAAACTTCAGCCAATACAGCATCGACCCTGTCACTAGGTATCCCAATATTAACATCAACTTCCTCCGGCCAAGCCAGGTAAGAGCCTGCTTGTGAGTTCTGTACACTTAGGCTCAGGTTCTGGATGCTCATCACTCTGGTCAATAGATAGATAGGAGTGTGTATAACTGTTATCATACAGTATATATTCCAATAGGAATGAATGTCGCTGTGTTTGTTATTATACAACACACACTAAGTAATCCATGTTGATGCCTCTGTGTTGTTCAAAGTAGGTATTGTCTCCCATTAACACATTCATCACAGAGGGTTAGTCTGTCCTTTTTCTCTATTGGTTGGTCAGTTGTTTTGAGTTTGGGATTAGGGTGGGGTGGACTTGTGCAGTAACCCAGGCTCAGCTGGAACTCACTACATAGCCCAGGCTGGCTCTGAAGTGGCGATTATCCTCTCGAACCAGCTTCCCAAGTGCTGGTTGTGAGCCACCATGCCTGGCTAAGCAGAGGTTTTTTTTAATGACTTGTAGAAGATCAGAAGTCACAAAAACAATAGACCTAGGACTTGACCCACACCTCCTAATTCAAGCCACATGGTGTGGGGGAAAGGGCCCTGGTCACTGCGGCATCACCACCCGTCAACCTGGCACTCAGCCAGGTGGTTTGGCTTTCTCTGAACCTCAGTTTTTTTTTTACCTGAGAAGCATAGGTGATGATGACCCTGCCCACTCACAGCATCACAGTTAGGCAAATGGGCTTTAGAGGGCTCAGACGCTCTCTGCAAGTAGAAGGCGTTAGCCTAGGTTTTGTACTGTGTCCTCCAGAATCTGTAAAGCCGCCTTCTTGTCGAGAGTGGCGTACTTCAGAGCACAGCAGCCCCGAGGAGCAGACTCTTCAGGAAGCAGCCTGCTTCACACACTCGTCTGTATTCTAGAGGCTTTTCTTCTTTGCCTTCTACCTGGTGTCTACGGGCTTCTTGTATGTGTTTGAATAGTTCTGAACAATGCGAAGGTGGGCAGCCCCAGGTCAGAGCCAACTGGCTTACTCTCAGCCCAGCTGCCTGCGGCCAGGTTCCGTGTGCCTCCAGTAACTTCACTCCATTAAAGCTCTAAGGTCGTCATGTAGACTCTGCCTAAGCTTTACCATGGCGTACAGCTCTGCTTAGCCATGCAAGATCCCAACCTCAACCCCCCAGCTCTACCAGAAAGTAAACAGACTTTTACCATCTTGCCTCTGTAATCGTCGATTTGGTCATTCTTCTTTTGAGTGGGGAGCTGTTGTTCAGGGTTTGCTTTTCCTTTCCAACCTTTCAACTTTCTGCCAGGTGCGCCATTTATACGATAGTGGAGAAACAAAAGATATTCATCTGGAAATGGAGAACCTGGTGAATTCCCGAACCACTCCCAAGCTGACTCGCAATGGTGAGTTCCAGTAATGGGCTAACCTGTTTGAAAGAAGTCAAGCCATTGCATGACCACAGTGCTATCAAAGGCCCTGGGCTGCGGCCAGTGGTTTCACCCTCTGGGGTTATTAGATTGCTGCCAGGGTATGTTTCGACTGTCATGACTGGGATAGGTTTGCTAGTGGCATCTAGTGGATAGAACTCAGGGATATTGCTTACACTTTCTGGAATACACAAAACAATCCTCACAGAAAAGTACTGTGGTCTAATATAGTGTGAGAGCAGAGGTAAATTATTGTTGTATGAACTTTTCCTGGGCAGATATAAACAGATATCTGTTTGCCCCAGATAGGAAACCAACAATAGACCAAACTACTGAGACCACTCAAGGGCAGCTCTGTGAACCAGGGAGTTAATAAGCTGACCTGCAGGAACACAGGTGACCTCCAAATGTCCACATCACTGAAAGTCCCACTCCCACATAGATGATGCTTCTCCATAGCTGCGAGGTGGAGTCCTCCCTTCAGCTAACCGGCTACCTTCTGTATGCTCAGCACCTCCTAAGACTATGCTCAGTTGGGGCAGCATTTTGTAAAGCTGGGAGGGAGGTGTTTTCCTCCTTCAAGGGAACATCAACAGCTTGAGGGCTTCAGGCCTTAAGGGATTCTTGGCTGTGATCACGGCTGCTTTGATGAGGACAATAACGGCTGTCACACTTGGAGAGTCAGTGTCCCACAGGATCAGTTACAGATCCTGGAGAGAGTGAGAAAGAACACGTGACAAAGTGCACCCAAGCTCTTGGTTAACCATACACACACCCACGTTTTGGGACAGGCCTTGTAGAAATGTGGTCGGTAGCCTTCTAGCTGGGTCCTGAGAGCACCACCATGCCTGGGCAGACATGAAGGCCATTCTGTATTTTGTGTGTGTGCTGAAGGGCTGTTGGAGATTATCCTTGGAGAGTGGCCTTGAGTACAACTGGTTGGGTCATTAAAACGGACTGAGTAGGGAAATACACTTGGTACAGGGAGACTGTTTAGGAAACAGTTCCATAGTCTATATGTGAGAAAGGCCAGAATCTGGGACTGATCACAGAAGAATCTGAACTTCAGGCCAGGGACAAGCAGCTCTCTGTCCTACCCGTGCCATCTGTAAAGCAGGTGGCCTTGGGCATGGGGGTTAGAACCTCAGAACTTCCGTTTCCTTGCCTTTGATCTGGGAACAACCCTGCTCTGGGGTTGTGGTCATGAGGTCTCTGGCACAGCACTCACCACAACGCTTGGCACGCAGTGGGTGGAAACAGCAACAGGTCTGTCGTTGTTATTCATATTAAAAGTCTGAAGACACCACAATGGATCGGCATGGACAGTTAATTGTCCTGAGAGATACCAGGTAGGTAGTTGTGGTTTGTGCTGCACCAATCCAAACAAGAAGATGGAGGAGGCTGGAAAGGTGTGAGTTCTGTCTTGAATGGTTTGATTTAATGTGGTCGTGAGATGTGGATAGATAAGGAAACCAGCAGCCAGTCTGAAACATCTTCCTGGGGTGTCAACTCCTTGGACAGGGATGGCGTCACTCACCGTTACCGTGTTCGCCTGTGGCTCTGAAGTTGCCCTCATGGAGTAGATAGATATGCAGACATGGGAAACACCGGAGTGGCTCAGTATCAAAGCCAGGAGACGGCAACCGAAGGGGGCCCGTTTGTCGTCTCAGTCTATGCGGCCACTGTGAAAGACTTAGCAAGGTTCTTATCACAGTCATTTTTAATCTGCTTACAAATCTCCAAGTGACTTAGTGGAAAGCTAAATACCAGCTGCCTCAGGGACAGGAACAGACTTCTTGAACAGAGATCAATGCTCACAGGTTCTCTTAAGTGTTAGCAGAACTCCTCATGATGAAGACACGTCAGTAGAAAAAAATGTGTGTGTCTTTGCCTTGTCCTGGTCTCCACATGTGACTGTTTGTAACACAGGTTGCCAGCCTGGGTCCAGGACGGTTGTGGTTGTGGTCTGATTGGCCTTGCCGTTGTCACCCCGCAGTCTCTTCATTTGGCTCTCAGTAGGAACTTAGCAAGGAAGACTAAGGTTTTGTTTGCTTGAGTTTAAGGTACCACAGGAGAAACCCTTTCTAATCTAATCCCCTGGGTGTTGCTGTGGAGGAACCGGCTTCGTCAGCCTGTTGCCAGGCAACTCTCCAGGGAGGTCTTGACTGTTGACAGTGAGGTATCAGCTCCACAGGTGGCACTTTGCCATCAGCCTGTCTCCAGGAGTGCTGCTGGGACATGGCTTCAGAGCAGCAGGTCCTTGTCACTCTGCTCGGAGGTATCTGTCTGGGGCATTGACCCAGGAATCAGATAGGTGGCACCTGAAGTTGTATTATCATGATACCATCATGGTGCCTGCGACATCAACGTGCGCTCTACTGCCTTCTGTTGAAAATAGTGCTGACATTTTGTCCCCACCCTCGGTAATTTTCTCAAACTGCATATTTGTACTGCAGAGTGAACGCTATGTCAGTGCTATGAGGTAAGCACACTTCAGTAATTGTTTTTATTATTTTAGAGTCTGTAGCTCGTTCAAGCAAACTGCTGGGGTGGTGCCAAAGGCAAACAGACGGCTATTCAGGAGTGAACGTGACAGATCTCACTATGTCTTGGAAAAGTGGCCTGGCCCTGTGTGCGGTCATCCACAGGTACCGCCCCGACCTAATGTAAGTCATGACCAATTTTGTGTTTTGTTTTATATTTACCAAGGAGCCCGGAGTCCCTTATGCAAATTTTATACTTTTTCCTGGTATAAATTACATGATAAAATGCTCTCTCTAGAAGGCCCAGATTCTGCCTTCATTATATTTAAAACTCAAATCCCCAAAAAGTTAGCTTTAAAAAAAAAAAAAAGTCACAGCATTCAGAAGGTCAACAACTAGTTTTAACACCCACCTGGGTCTTTTAACTTTGAACAAAGGAAAACTGTTTATTGGCCCCAGGTTGAACTCTTCATTTTTGGCTAGCTCTCTCCCAGATGCTGTTGGTCACAAGGGAAACCTGGCTAGAACACTTGGCTAGCTCAACCCAACAAAAAACAATAGATTCGTACCTGATTTATGATGGTCTTGGGCATTTTCCTTGTTAAAGATTATACTCTCTACAAGCGTTTGCCCTGAGCATCATGAAACATCATCTTACCTGCTGTCCCTCTGATAAGCCATCTCTTACTCATTCCTCTACAGAGTCAGTGCAGAGTGGCCTCAGGTCAGCTTCCTGAACAAAGTGCTCAGATCCCCCCCCCACCCCACCCCCCCAGGCATTAGTTACTGTGGAAGCCAAACAGAGTCAGAGACAGAAGCACAGCATGGTGGATTATCTTGGCTGCCTTTGTTATCATTAGGTCCAGGGTTTGCCTGTTGTTTTAATGATTGGTTAAGGACTCCTAAAAGACATAGCGCTGTTTGTGATGTTAGCAAGCTGATGATGCAAGAGCGAATACAACCAGCCTTGCACTTGGTATAGATTAACAATGAGGACCATGTGTAAGGCTCTGGGTTTTGATCCTCATCGCCACAAGACAAAACAGCTATAGCCAGGCCAGCCTGCAATCCCAGCATTGAGAGGGTTAATTAAGCAGGAGAGTTAAGAGCCTCAGACTGAAACTGTCTTCTAGAAAGAATAAATAAATATGGAGAGGTAAGTGTGTAGACGTTGCCTGGCGGACACCAGGCTTTGGGTTCCCAGGCAAGATTAAAAACAGAGACGTTTTTGATGTAAAGTAAAGGACTCTGATGCACGTCCAGAAGTCGGTCAAAGAGTCAATGAAAGTCATGGGGAAGGGCGAGGAGGGAGAACAGCCGAGTGAGTGGCAGGACAGTGTTTCTGGACTGAGGTGTGTGGGGAAGTGTGTGTGCTGTAAATCAGGTCTGTCTCAGGGAAGGCAAGGAAGAAAAACAAGTAGTGAGGTGGACTGGTCGGGTGGAGCTGAGGGTCCTGTTGGAACACCCAAGCGTAGCCTGAAGAAGGCCTGGGGAGAGGTCAGAAAGCCCTCAATGCCTGATTCAGCACCGTCCGAACTGTATTCAAGATGAGTGTTCAGGCTTTAATAGGCTTAATCTAAGAGAAACGTAATTTGTTTTAAATGGAAAAAAAAAATTCCCTGAGGTCAAAAGGTTAACACAAACTAAGGGCTGCCAGAATAGTGTGAAGTCAGCTGAGGGAAACCTCAGCGGTCACTTCCTTAGTAGCTAGAGCTTACAACCTGGGGGAGGGGGTTCATTAGTGGAGATGGGAAAGCTCAGGGGATTCAGCAATGGAAAAACCTGGAGGAAGGTTTTAGAATTTCCCCGTAGGAGAAAGCTGAGTAAAATTTACCAGAACAGTTGGGGCAAGTGACAGCCCTAGGACATGGAGAACTCTGTCCAGACAGGGTCGTCATGTCACTGTCAGACATCAGTTTCCTTTGCGCTATGGACAGGTGTGCGGGAACACACATTAAGGAAGTTCCTGTCCTGAGCTTATGTTACAGTAAGAAGCTGGTGTCCCTGGAGGATGCAAGGTTCTCTACCATCAAGTTGTTTCCCACATCCCCCCCAACCCCCCCCCACCACATCTTCTCCCACATCCCCCCTCACCCCATCCTTATTTTTGAGGTAGAGCTGTAGTTATAAGCTGTACAATTCCTTAGTCAGGAGGAAGACTGGGGGTCCAGGCAAACTGATCTGTCCCCTGATCCAGGGATGATGCTGGACTCCGTGGACCTTAGCCTACAGGCTGAGATGGTAATGGCACAGGGTACTGTGTTGTGGTTTGAGGACAGTTAACCCAACCTGATCCTTTTTTTTTTTTTTCCTTTTGTCCTGTCTCTTAGAGACTTTGATTCTTTGGATGAGCAGAATGTGGAAAAGAATAATCAGCTGGCCTTTGACATCGCTGAGAAGGAACTGGGCATCTCGCCCATCATGACGGGCAAGGAGATGGCTTCAGTGGGGGAGCCGGACAAGTTGTCCATGGTGATGTACCTCACGCAGTTCTACGAGATGTTCAAGGACTCACTCCCCTCCAGCGGTGAGCTCAGGGGTGGGGTTTTGGCCTCCTGCTGCCTGCGCAGCAGGGAAGCCTCTAGAAGCTTGCTTCACCCGACCCTTCTCAGCAGTGTGTTCCTAACCATATGCTGTTTTCAAAGTCTCTCTCACTCTATGAGTGTGCAAAGCCAGTCAGTCTGAAGCTTTTCTCCTCGACTCCGCCAGCTTCCCCCAGCCTCTGTCAGATTCATCCCCTCTGCAAAAGTAACTCCTGATGGACTTGTGTATTGTAATACTGCTTCTCTTTGTAGCACTCTGCCCAAACTGCAAAGAAGCTTCCCAGTCCAAGAGCTTTTCTCATTTCTTTCCTATTTTTTTTCATTTGCGTGCATGTGTGTGTGTGTGTGTGTGTGTGTGTGTGTGTGTGTGTTTTTTTTCCTAGGGTCTCATGAATATCAGGTAGCACCTTACAACTGAGCTACATCCCTGGGCCTCTGTTTCTCGTCTCGCCAGTGCCCTGCAGTGACGTCTCTTGGTGCTCCCTCTCCTTCACTGCTGCTTTGATTCTATGCTTTGCTGGGGTCTCAGCACCTCTTTCCTCTCTTGCTTCCCTTGTAACTTTTCTCTCTTAGAGATTCCCAGAGATATTTTCTTGGTCCTTAGCCTGCTGCCTCGGCCAACATTCCATAGGGCTCCACAAAATATTTCTGTTGCACCCTGTTCTGGGTTTCCTTTTCTGTTGCTGGGATAAGAACTATGACCAAAAGCAGTTCAGGGGAGGAGAGGGTCCGCTTGGCTTACACTTCTGGGTCACAGTGCATCCTTAAGGGAAGTCCGGGTGGGAGATCAGTCAGGAGCCTTAGGGCAGGAACCACAGAGAAACACTGTTTGCTGTTTCCTCACAGTTTTCTTATACAGCCCAGGGCCGTCTGCCTAGGGATGGTGCCACTGCAGTGGGGCTGGTTCCTCCTGCATCAGTTAATAACCAGACAGCCCCCTCCCCCCAGCCCAGTCTGACCTAAGCAGTTAGTCAGTCAAGGCTTTCCTCTCAGATCTCTCTGGGTTATGGTAAGTGACAGTTAAAGCTACCTTCGACACCGCTATGGTCAAACGTTGTGCTTCAAAGTCTTGGCCACAGAGTCTGACCTAGGGTTTGTTCCATGATTTCTACATGTTCCACCTTGGGCAGGCTCTCAAATTTCCTTACATTTCAGTCTCCCTGTGTAAAAATAAGAGTGGTGGCTACAATAATACTGTGCTGTACTAAGAATGTGTTATACTAAGAACTAGCCAAGTAATGTTAATGGCTCATTATCATTTCCAGTTACTACACTCAAAGTTGCTATTGCTAGTCATATAATATTAGAATACCAACCAGCAAGATGGCTCAGTGGGTAAAGGTGCTTACCATTAGACAGTAAGAACTTGACAACCTGCGTTCAATCCCTGGACCCCACAGAAAGCAGAAGGAGAAAACTGATTCCATAGAGTTGCCCTCTGACCACCACACAGGTTGGAGCCATGTATGCCCGCCCCCCAGAAGATGATGAAGATAAAGAAGAGGGAGAAGAAGAATTAGAATCCACAGTTAACTGTGCCCTCCTCCCCACAGTGTTCAAGCCCCTATATCATTATAGGCACCTGTGTCTTTTCCTAACTGGATATGCAGTTTTCACAACACAAACCCTGAATCCCCAGTAGCCCTTTTCATTGAGAGCCCCTCTTCAGACACAGTTAAGAACATGGCCTCTGCTGTCCCCTAAACTGGCGGCCCCGTGTCTTGTATCTCTCAGCTCTCTACCCCAGCCTGAAGGTTTTTTTTTTTATCAAAATTTAACTTGGGCAATCTGCTATGATGGCCACAGGCAGAGTCCAACCTTTACAAAGCAGAGATGTGGGCTGCTGCACCTCAAGTGTAAGGAGTGGCGTTGGTTTTGTGTGTTTTGATGCAAAGAAAGTGTCTAGACCTAAGTGTGCATCTTTGTGCTGTTTCCTAAGGAGGCACATGCTCTGTCTTAGTCGGTAACCCACTAGAGATCTGCGAGCTTCCTTCTTGCCAGCCCCTTATAAGAGAGCGTAGATCTCAGGGCTTTGTGGCACTGCCCTAAGTAAACGTTATTCTCTCCTGTTCACAGACACCCTGGACCTGAACGCAGAGGAGAAAGCCGTCCTGATAGCCAGCACCAAATCCCCCATCTCCTTCCTGAGCAAACTGGGACAGACCATCTCTCGGAAGCGTTCACCCAAGGTTTGTGTACACCAGTCACATTAATAGTGGCGTCAGAGCTAATGGCCAAGGAAGGTAACCAGGCTAATGTGTGTGTCTTCTCTTGGTGCAGGATAAAAAGGAAAAGGACTCGGATGGGGCTGGAAAGAGGAGAAAAACCAGTCAATCAGAAGAGGTGAGATTCCTCGTAGCTTGTGTCAGGTCTGATGGACTAAGTTATCCTTTTCAGTTTGAGGGTTTGTATGTTTGTTTAATGTGTCCATTTATTTGTTTGTATGCCTGTGTGAATTTATGTGGATCATATATGTGCAGCTACCTGGGGAGGCCAGAGGCCATCAGATGCTCTGGAACTAGAATTACAGGTGGCTATGAGCTGTCTCCTGTGGGCTCTGGGGATAGAACCTGGATCCTCCGTAAGTGCAGTAAGCACTCCTAACCACTGAGCTGTCTCTTCGGCCACCTGGTTTAAATTATTAATTCTGAAGTTACTACTGCTATACCTTTGCATAATCATCTCTTAGGAGAGTCTCTGTGTGCTTTTGCCTTCACTGTATTTTCCAGAAAGTAGCAAGGAATGTGCACATGTGTGTGCTCAGACGTTCTCTTCATACAATCACACATTTGGCAGAGCACGCTGGCTTTGCCGAGATCTGGTGATGCCAGCGCAGGTGTGTGTGCCCCATTGGTGCCTTACATCCCAGGGTCTTGCTAACTCTTCACATCAGAACTTTGCAGAGTGCTGTTTAAACAACTTGTAGCTACTGTGCAGTTCCTGCCCACACGTTGAGAAAAGATTATCAGAGGTTTCCCATGACCCATCCTGACCCTTGGGTGCTTTCTGCTGGGCAGGAGGAGCCTCCCCGGAGCTACAGAGGAGAAAGGCCTACCCTGGTGAGCACTCTGACAGACAGGCGGATGGATGCTGCCATTGGGAACCAGAACAAAGTAAAGTACATGGCAACCCAGCTGCTGGCCAAATTTGAAGAGAATGCACCTGCTCAGTCCACTGGCGTGAGGAGACAGGTAAGCCCTAAGCCCAGCTCAAGAATGGCCACACGGTACAGGAAGGAAGGTCTCAGTGCAGCAAGATATATCATGCCACAGACCCCAGACTCGTGGGCCGGGCATGCTTCTGTCTGAATCTTACACGTTCATAGCTGCAGTAGCTTCACTTCAGGTTCAAGGAATCTGTGACCAAAATCAGTAGAGAGATCCAAAATATGTTTCTATGGATGCTTATAAACACACATATATGTCACACATGTACACACTTGAATTACAAAAGAAGCGTGTAGCCAGCGTGTGGTATGAAAGCAGCACTTGGGGAGCCGAGGCAAGAAGATTATGGGTTCAAAGCCAGCTTGGCCTACATCATGATACAGCTCAAGAAGAGAAAAAGAACAGGGCTTATTGGAGAAAATCTGCCAACTGTCGTAGAGGTGACTAAGACATCTACCATCTGTTAATTTTGCCTCATTTCTTTCTGGACTTTTTCGGGAGACATTTTTATTTTCATGCTGGAGACCATTCTGGGGACACGCTTCCTTTTCTGCCTTTTGTTTTTTGACCATGGCATACCCTGGTGTCTCCTCAGCTCACAGGTGTCTTCAGGGTGTGTGCACGTTGCTCTTCTCCAGTTCTAGCTGTGGTGGATGCTTTAGTTGCTTCTCATCCTTGATAAGATACAGTCTCAGGGATGAGCCTGCTCCTGTGAGCTAAGATTCTCTCCCAGGAATGTGAGCCCTTAAGGTGCTCTCCTTGAGCCACATGAGAGAGTCCAGCAGCACCTGGCCTGGAGTGGCCACACACTGTCTTGTCTCTCCTTGCTCCTCAGAAGTCATTAAACTTCTTTAAAGAGAGGGGCCCGGCGTTTTCGAACTCTCTGAAATGTGTCACAGCGTTCCCTGATCACCTGAAAGGGAATAAATAGGAGAATGGGCTCCGTCTCTCTTCATCTTCTCTGTGCTTGTGCTAGCTCCTGTGGGGCAGGCAACAGCCCTGCGTTTGCTTCTCCTACCTTGCTTCAGGTGGAGACCCCTGTCTTTTCTCTTTGTGTCATAGCCAGGATGATAGTTTACCCTGGAGCCCTCCAGTCGAAGGCTGCTTTCCTCATTCATGGGGGAATTAATTTTCCAAATCAGGTAGTAGTCTAGACCCTAGAGAATTCAGGCTTGGAAAAGTATAACAACAACCACAGCTTGTCGATTCCCGCTTTCTTCTGTTTCTGTGATTGCTTTTGGTTTTGGGGATGCCATTGTCTTTCCTTTATTAATGTAACTTTGTAAGAGTTAACTTGGCCTGCCCACCCTTCACAGTTTATAGATGTGTGTCTGTCCTCCACAGGTACCTTTCTGTGTCTTCTACCTTAATGTATTTTATTTTGTTTTGTCTCCATGTCCTGCCCCTACTCACACCTGGCCTGTGTGTGTCATAGCCAACACAAGAGCGTGGGGTCAGCCAGCCGTCCTGCTGCCTGCCAGAGCAGGGTCGCCCTGCTCCCATCCCCCAGTGGAAACAGGTAAAGGAATTGCTGGGGTCTAGAATGGGCTGCCACTGGCCTTCCAACCCCATCCCTGCTCTTGGCCCACCTGAAAACCTAGCTCACCAGGGCAAGAAGGCCCTAGACTTCGAATAGTGACTTTGGGAAACATTTGACAGACGGTGTTGGTCTGATTCCGTGATTGTATTAGCCCCCTGGGATTTGAGGAGTGTCTCAGGAAGGCTTTTGACATGGTGTTGAAGGTAGCTGGAAGGATGTGGGAACTCGTCAAGGTATGGCACTGGAGACTTTGGGTCTTTGCTCCCAACTTGGCTTTTTAGTAGTCCATCTCCAGGTGACCTTTGTTCTTCGTGAGAACTAGGGAAGCAAGGCTTTTGGTTTGAGGCAGGAAATATGAAACTAGTCATGAGCTATGCATCTGTTTCTTTCAGACCTATACAAAATGTTCATGGGTGGTTCCCCACCTGCCTTAGGATTCTGTCCGCATGTTTTGGTGAGGGGCTTGGGAGCTGTGTATATATATATGTATATATATAGCTCAGTGGTAGAGCATTTGCCTAGCTTCATGAGACTCTGGGCTCCCTCCTTAGTACCACCCCCAAACCAACAAAACACTTCATCTCAGGACTTCTGGAAAACTGTTTATCATGACAGTCAGGAAAAGGAATGGTCCACGCGTGGGCAAAAGGGAAGACTGGTCAGTCTGTGAGAAGCATCTGCCGTTCATTCCCCATGGTCACAGTTGAGCAGTTTATTGCTGGGGTTGGGGGCGATGCTGGATGAGTTTCCAAGTAGCAGGTGTCGTTTCACTCGGGTAGGGCGCTGAGGTGAGGCGAGCTGGTCCTGCGGTCCTGGGTTCCGTTAGCCTCTCGGTGGCCAGCCTCGGCGGCTCTACTGCTGGGAAGTGCTGAGGAACGCTGAGTTGGATGCTAACTGAAATTGCATTTTAAAGAAAATGCTTATTTCTAACCTCATAATACTCCAAGTGAAAGACAGGGTCCAGGGAGGGAGAAGGAAAATGCTGGAACAATGTGCAAACTCACAATAGAAGGTAAACTTCCTGCCTCCGTAGGAACTACTTACAGAGGGAGGCCTTCTGAAGGATGTCATCAAGAGTTTGTATTTTACCTTTCTTGTCCTTTGCTTGAAGTCTTGATGGAAGGGAATAGGTGAATTCTAAGCCAGAGTTTCAAACTGTAAAGTCTTATCCTTCCTGGAAAAGAACTGAGATTAGGATAGAAGAATAGAAGAGGAAGGTCTGGTGTCACCTGTGAGTGAGGACATGGGTGGCCCTGTGTTCGGTCTGGGCTGGTGCAGCTTTGTTGGTTGTGCTGGGAAGGAGGGGGCAGTGTATGTGGCTCAGAGTCTGCTGGCTGGGTCTCGGCCTCTGTGTTGGTGAAGACAAGTCTGGCAGTTTGGAAGGTCACCAGGCACATGATTCTACACAGGCTACTGGTGGAGCCCAGTAGCCCAGTAGCGTTGTGCCAGGTCCCATGCAGGGAGATAAGCGCCTTGGTGACCGTCAGCAATGAAAACACTTTAGATCATCAGGTCCTTTAGGCTACATTGAGTCATGAATTACACTAAGTACCCGCAGAGGTGGTGCCGACACACTGTCCCTCACATTCTGTCCCTGCAGAATGTTGAATACTCTCATTCATCATTTGCAACTCTAGGTTTGGTCCTCTAGGCGACTATCTACTGAAAGCTAGCGATGTGTTCAGACCCTCCAGACAGTAGGGACTCAGAGCAGGGGGTGTCTGGGCCACTGCTGGCTGGCCACTCATCTCCACCAGGCAGAACCTCACTGTGACTCACCGTCTGTCTCTTGAAGTGGTTCTCTACTGAGGCAGGAGGTGTGGCAGGCGTGGTATTCCTTGGCAGAGTTGGCCCGAGAACCTGTTCCGACTTAGGTCATCGTGTGGAAGGAGGAAAATGGACAACAGCTCTGCTTGCCAATGGCTTTGTGCTGTTCTTTCCAGTATAAACACTGCAGCTCGTCCTTTGCCCTCCCTTTCCTTTTGATCTGAGAAGTGCATCCTGCAGACAGACGGCACACGGACCAGCCTAGCTTTGGAAGCAGATTGTCATGTGAGGTGGGAACACACAGTGGAGATGTTTTTCTGACCTTACAGCTGCCACACCTTCCCACCCCACCCTCTTCCCCGTACAGCAGTCGGTACAGGAAGCTGAGAATCTCCTGGAAAGTACCAGAGAGTCCCTGAGTAGTGTGTGTTTGTTTCTCAAATACGGAGAAGCATCTTTTGAGAACCACGGACCAACCCACAAAGAAGGGGGTATGTGGTACAGGCAGGATGAAGGATGAGCTTGCAGTTAATCTGTAGAGCCTGTTTCCTGGCATTTCTGTGTAGTTTTTAGAACTGTTGAATGTGAGAGAGGGGCTTAAGGCATTGATGGAATGTGGCCACAGGAGGCTTAGTGGGAACTTGCTTTGCTGTAGTGTAATCTGGTGTGCATAAGTCATGTGATATCCCATGGGGTCATCTACCTTTTCCGTCTACTTACAGTCAAGCCCATTTTGGGGTGCCCATCTTTTCTGATAAAGCCCTTGATCCTTGACATTACAGGGCATTAAACCAAGGATTCCCCCACCCCCAGCTGTTTAGTGACCTTTGCTTGAAGCTCTGGTCCAAGATGAAAAACAAGAGACTTGATAAGTCACCCTGAACACAGTTAGGTACTATGGAGGGTGGTCAAGGAAGGGCCATCTAGGGATGTTTTGCAAATATGCAAATGCTCCTCATCTCTCCCAGGGCAGTCTCCACCCGTTTCAACAATGTTCTCTCTGTTTGTGTCTGTTGGTGTAAAAGCGACGGGAAAAGGAGTGCTCTCGGACCTGCCCCAAAAAAGTGATCACTCTCTCTCCTCCCCCTACTCCACCTTCCTGCCGGGCGCGCAGTGGCCAGCAGGTGACCCTCTGCATGCTCTATGTCCTGTCTGTCCTGCTACCTACGCTACAAATGTAGGGACCAGCTCAGTCACCCCTCTTTTCAGTGATACGTTTTTAAAAGATGACTTGTAGCAAAAAAAAAAAACAAAAAACAAAAAAAAAACCCAACCTCATTGCTACAAGTGAATAATTCCTGTTGGGACCTCAGGTGAGGGCCCTGTGCATTCAAATCCTGCATGTACTGGTCTAGTCCTTATCATGGGAGGACAGCCACAGACCAAAGCATAGGCTATACTCACTTCAGATCTAACATCTGTGAGTTCCAGGAGGCACACATTTTTATGGGACTGCACTTGAAGTAGCTATGTTTCTTTTGCTGCCTTATGCAGTGTGGTTAAGATGTACACAGGAAAGCCCCGTGTGTCCTCCCTGCATGGGTTTGGTTCTCCTGACACTGACAGCCTGGCTTATACAGCTTCTCCTAACCCAACCCAGCCACCCATTCACTCCTCAGGCAGACGGCTAAGGAACTGCCTCTGAAACCCGCCAGCCACATGTGGCTGTTGACTGCACAATCACACCTATACTGTGTGCACACAGAATGGCTGCTGACCTTTGAACTGAAACCCTATTTTAAAAAAAAAAATAGCCACTTCTGAGAGCAGGCTCTTTGAAAGGATATTTTCATAACGAAGGTAGCCTACCTCAAAGGTGACCACTAACGATGCATCTGGTTTTACAGGCCCTCCTCCTGCCCCTGGGCCTAAGAACTGAGCCGTGCTGGCCCTTGTTGACTGCCCTGTGCCTCCTCTAAATAAGGACTCACAGTTCGAGCATTTGTTCTGCCCCTCAGTCTCCCAGTCAGTCCCCACAGTAACTGTGGAGCAGGTCCCACCGTCATCTTCACTTTACAGTCTGAGGTGTAGGGTGGAGAGGCCGAGGAGTTGTGCAAGACGGCAGGTGAGCAATGGCCCCGAACTGAGTGGGAGCCGAGAGATGTCTGGAGGCCAGCTCTGGGCTCATACTACCTGTGGCAGCATGTCATTGGCACTGGGCATTCATTTCCTGAGGATGGACATCTCAACTTTAGTGGTTAGTATGGTCCTCCTGTCCCCACTGTTGTCACCTTAGTCCACTGAGGCAGCCTCGTGCCTGTCCTAGGATTTCCCATGATCCTCTGTATTAACTGAGAGTGCCTCCTGTCTCCACACGCGTCTCCCGCATTCCTGGTCCCCACCCTAGAGTCTCCTCTGCACACTGTAACAGTCCTTTGTTCATCCGGTTTCCATCTCTCCACCATTCCTGCTGTGGAAAGCTTCCCTGCCAAGCCGACTCCCCTAAGCCTTACACTGCACGCCTCCGATCTTACACCACTGTGTGAAGGACACAATTGTTCCACCTTTGTACTAACCGCAGTTCTTGGTCTGTGGAGGGGGCCTCGTTGGAGGCAGGTGGGCAGAAAATTGTCCCAGATCGTGGAACTTGGTACAGGTGGGGTTGTGGACAGCTGGTTAGGGAAGTCTGGGGCCTGGGATATATGGAAACGTGAACCCTGAATTCTTGCCTAAATCTCCCACCTTTACCGAGTAGGTCCAAAGAGAGTTGGGATGGAGCTTAAGTTTTGATTTTGTTGCCAACAGATGTACAGGAATCTTCATGCTGACAGCCGTGGCAAGCAGATCCCCCACCATGAGAGGGTAAAAGCATGAGCCTGCAGCATGGGATGCTGAGCGCCGACCCTTGGGGCACGCTGTGTGGTGGGGCAGAGGGAAGGCAGCATGGAGAGGAGTCCCTTCTCCTAGCTTTTTGCACACTTGTCACCCAGCCAAGAGCCAGAACTCTGCTAATAGCATTGTCCCACACGACAGCCTTGACGGCAGAGTGTCCATCTGCGAAGCATTCAGACTGGATGCTAACCCTGGTGCTTCTGTAGTTGCAGTGGGCCGTAGCGACTTCCCAGATTTGTTCTCCTATCCCATTCCAAGACCTTATCACTTCTTCCCTCAAAGTAGACAAGGGTAGCCCAAAGGCATTGGTAATTGGGGAGAACTCGGGATGTGACAATGGATGTGACAGCCTTAGGTCTTGAAGAACTGAGGCTCTTGACAGAGTTTGGGGAAGAAGTCAGATAGGAAGGATCAGGAGAAGCAGCCAATGGCAGGATGGGTGCATAATGAAAAGCTATAGCTGATCTTTTCTTTAAAAAAAAACAAAAAACAAAACAAAACGCAGAGATGTCACTGACTAAAATGGGCTATTTTTTTCTCAGTGACTGTGGTGATGAAGCCCCCTAGCCTGCCTACTTTGTGAAGCTTTTTGCATTGGTCCTGTCCTTAAGGACCTGCAGTGAGCTGGTGTCTCACAGACCCTGGTGATTCCACAGCTGCCTTCCTCCTGCCTTGGCTCTCCGAGAACTGCACTGGGGACCAGGCAGCAAGCTGGGACACATCTTGGGTCCACTGGGAAACAGGCAGTAGCACCGTCTTCTCTTCCCTTGAACGAAACTACCAGCAGGAGAGGGTTGAGAGGGGAGGTGGGACTGGCTGGCCTCTGCTTCTCCCTGTCACCAGCACCACGTTATCTGCCATTTGGTAGGGAAGTTGATGTCAATTCTGTGTCCACAGCCTTTTCCTTCCTTCTTCCCAGACTCTACCATAGTCCCCTCAGAGGCAGGAGAGCAGGGTAGCGTCCTAGATTCTGAAGCATGCACACTTAGTGAGGTGTTGGTGGTTTTTAATAAGCAGCATCTGCAAGGGAAGTGAGGAAGTTTGTGAGTGAAAGGAAGCTTGGCAGGAAACTGAGGTGCAGGACACAGTTGCCCAGTGGGCACAGGATGTGCCTAAACGACACTGTGGCATGTGGGGACTTTTGTTTTTCCCCAGGAATTGGTGTGTATAGATCCTCAGTGTGGGGCTCAGGCTAGATACTGGGGACACCACTTCCATTCTTTTCCAGGACTTCTCTCCCACCCCATAGCCCCGCCCGTGCACGCCCTTACTCTCTGTAGCTCTCCTTCACTCAGTTCCCGCACTGTGACTGCTCCACGTTCCAAGTGGTCAGTCATCTCGTTCCTTTTGGTGACTGGTACTCATCCACAGAGATAGTTGCTCCTTGTCCTGGGTTCAAATGACTGACACCATCCTTGCGCTATACTCAGGGCTTGGAAGCTGTCGACACCTGGAACGCCCAGATATCTGCCATGCTGCCTTGTCGCTGCCAGACCCTGAGATGTCAACTGAAGGGATGCAGTGGCTCTCCCTGGAGTCTGAGCAGCACCTCTATCCCTCCCACCTTGTAGATTGTATCTGGAAGTATGGTGGGAAAACTAAGGATGTCCATTACCTCATTCCCCTCTAGATCAGAGTTGCTGGCTACATGGGCCAGCACTGAGAAAGATCCTGCCCGCTGTTGCTGCAACAGCTGAGGCCAGCGTAAGAAAGACAAGGGGCATTTAGATCTAAGTCCCTGGATCGCGCCCTCAGTTTCTCTGGCTTCTTACCAAGCAGAACAGCCATCAGAGCCAAGCAGAGTGTAAATGGGTCTTCCCTGAGCTCTGGCATTAGGAGGTGGAGAACGCCTGGGCACTGTCCACAGGACAAGGTCATGCCCTGAATACTGGCAGAGGACAGTGAGGGTCCCAATCCTACTCTTTGCTCTGTCAGGAGAGACCTAGAATGACCATGAGGTGTCTGCTAAGGGAGAATCCCTGCGCAGGTCAGCAAGGGCCCTGTGAAAAGCCAGTGGTGAACCTAGTTAGTAAAAACAGCAAGCCAAGGTGCCCTGAGTTTTCACAGGTGCTCATAGCTCAGAGATGTGCTGCACGGCCGGCCTAGCGGGACACACTGGGCAAGCAGGACACATTGGGCAAGCGGGAAGCAGATGGGAGTCATAAATGAAGCTCATTTCCTTCTGGGAATCGGAAGACCTGCTTTTATTTACCACATATATTCTGCAGTTAAACAGTAAAACCATCTGACACTCAGATTCCCTGTTTGAGGTATTGACTTTTAACATGTACTTTGCTCTTTTTTCTCCGCCTTGTATTTTATAGCCAGAGCCCGAGCCTTCACGTCGATTTTTTGTTGACCAGTGGGAGCTCTCCCTTAGTCTCCGCTCCTCCACCCGCCCTGCCTCTCCCTCCTCTGACTCCCTCCGACAGGTAGCATGGCCTGGACTTGACAAAACCATATTCTGCAGCCTCTGCTCACTCTACCTTCACAGGTGTCACCCACCTGAGGGAGCCTAGGTCTCCGCCTTTGCCTGGCTCCCCAGAAGCTCTCTGTGTGTGTGAGGGCTGCCACAGACACCTATGTTAAAGAGGCTGCTAGCACCTGCTGTTAAGCTGTGTCCGATAACTGATAGCATTTGTCAACCTTGGACTGAAGACTGCGTTTTCTTAATCACATGCTACAGAATTTGAACCATGCCGTCACTAACTCCTAGTAAAATAGTGAGCACACAACACTCTCGGTGTTCCTTGTAATCGTGTGTGGAATGAACCCTGCTTTATCCTGGGTGGCTTCGATCCAGTTCCAAGGACTTTGTTAGGGATTGGAGAGTCTGCTGCCTTTGCCTGTGCTTCGTATTCTTAGCCAGTGTGTATATGTGCAGGAGCGCATGCATGTGTGTGGTGTGCAGTGGGGTGAGCCCAGCGAGTCCTACACTTCGACCCTTCTGGGAGTGGGAAGAAGACTGCTTTTCATGCCAGAAACAGAACTTGAGTCCATCTCTCTGGCAGGTGCTTGCCTGTGTTGCTGCATCACAAGAGCTGAATGACAAATGCCCCTGTGCACGTAGCCTCAGGTCATGGCTGCTGAGATAGGCCCCCCTCCCCCGTCAGAGAAGGGTCCTGGGTGCGCACAGTGGTCCAAGGGCTGCTGTGTGCTGGGCACTTAGTCATCTTCTCTACAGAGTGAAGAGAATGTGACTTTCGGATCCTGTGAGGGAAGCTCTCAGAGGAGCTTGGCTTTCATTTCTGCTTTCCTCTACTCTTTGTCTACCTGTCCCAGGCATGTGCTTCTCAAAGTCCCTAGTCTAAGAGACTTCTTTGTCTCTGTTACTAATGGACATATGTGGGATTAATGGCAGGTGAAGCCAGCCAATCCTAGGATGTCTCTTTAGTTGAGCCGGAAAAATATGGATTCCAGACTCGGTTCCAAGCAGGCCTTAGCTGAGCCTAGTGAGAAGTATTCTCAAGTGTGAACATTCCCAGACTTACAGAGTTGACCCCACAAAACCTGCACATAAGCTGTTTGGACCAGCAGCCCTTTTACATGTGGCTTTACAGGTTTGTCCCTTGAAGCCACTTACTAGGGAGTTGACGTCATCTCTGGGATAACGGTACCTGCTGTAATTCTGCATCCAAATTAGTGACACTCCCACTTGGCTGGGAGCCTCCTTTACTTTCTGCTGTGAGAGGTGTGGCATACACTGTCTCCACCCAGAGTCCTGCCTATCACATCTCTAAAAGACTCCCCACAAGACTGACTATAGTCCCAGGACAGGATCCAAGCTAGGCCACAGGGTGCCAGACCTCTGTGAGCAGATGACCGTGCAGACATGGGCATCTCTCCTGTCTGTTTCTTCACTGTTACCAAAAGGGAGATTGCATTAGTTTGATCTGTGTGTGTCGGGAAAAGGATTAAACTATCTCACTATATAGTCTAGGCTAGTCTTGAACTCATGGCAATCCTCCCGCCTTAGCTTTCCGAGTGCTGAGATTACCAATGTATGGCACTACACTCTGCTTTGGATTTTGAGTTCTTTTGTTGTTCATCTCTAAAAACAATTCCTCCAGGGCCAGAAACCTTCTGATTTCCTGAGGCAGAATGAGCAGCTTCCTTTAGGGTATAGCTTGTGATTTGGTGTCCCACCTAGTCTGGGAGAAATCCAGGCTCCACATTTGGATAAATGAGAATTGGCTTTCTACTCTCAAATACCACCCACCCCCTGCCACCTGATATTAGTGGGGAAATGGCCAGGGAGGCTTCTTCCCAGAGAGCTCAGGATGGTCTGTTGCATGGAGCAGATGCTGTGGGTCGGTTTATGAGGCAGGGGGTTACCAGCAATGCCAGAACTCTCTTCACAGCTGTTGTCCACATGGGACATCAGTATCTGCAAAACTGCCTGGTTTCTTTCTCAGCCTGAGGCAGTCAGCTTATTCCCAGTGCACACTGGACCTTCTCCTTGCCACCTGCCTGGAGTTGACGACCCTCAGACTCTCTGAGCACCCAGGATGCAGGCCCCACCGTCTCTTCCATGTTTGCTTCCATTCTGTCTTCTACCTCCCTATCTCCAGAACTGGACTCAGAAAAACATGAAGGACCAAGGTCTTCCCTGTGGAAGATTGTCTCCACTGCTGCTGCTCATGTGTGTGTGCTCACCACCGTGTGGAGCCTGGCACAGTGTCGCGCTCACTGCCCAGTTTCTGCTTGTGGGCACCGTGTTGGCATGGTTTGTGGTTGCACTGTGTATTTTACACCCGTCAAAGATTGTTTTTTCCTGTCGTCTCCTTAATTTACTTTTTTCCTTCTCATTTCCCTTCGTTTCCATCATTGGGTAATCTCCAACCAATAGAAGTATATAAAGATGTACACGGGCGGAGTGAGCTCATTGGCTGAGCAGATAGCCAATCAGCTTCAAAGGAAAGAGCAACCCAAAACCCTTCTAGACAAGAAGGAACTGGTAAGAGACATTCCAGGGGCACTGTCTCTAGTCATGGCACTATGTCGAGTGACCCTCGCCTGCTCTGAGGGTCTTAACTGATTTCTATAGCCACCTGGATTGCCACCTGGTAGCTTTCTTGAGTTGGTCTCAATTTTGATGACCGAATTTCTAGGACTGTGGTAGATATTTAGAATGCTCTGTGGAAAAGCACTTTCCTCTTTAAAGATGGTCCCACTACTATTCAGGGAATGCGTACACATGAACACTAAGTATATGTATATTTAGTCTATGGTCTGCTTGTTATGCAATTCTGAAAGCTTGGCTCTTTCATCAGAAGCATCTCATGGTTGCTGAGTCTCACACGTTTAGACCCCGGCTTGTACTGAGGGTCCTCAGGCTGGATTGTGGAGTCAAGCTACTCCCAGAGCCTCTCTTCGGGAGAGCCACAGATAGAGAGACTGTTTGTAGTTGTTTAATACCTGTGGTCTGCACCCATGTGACCCGAGTCATCCTCACACAGAGGCCACAAAGTCTGATATGCTTCTCCAACCACCGCCCTACAGGGTTCCATAAAGAAAGAGTTCCCGCAGAACCTGGGGGGCAGCGACACGTGCTATTTCTGCCAAAAGCGGGTGTACGTGATGGAGAGGCTGAGCGCCGAGGGCAAGTTCTTCCATCGCAGCTGCTTCAAGTGCGAGTATTGCGCCACCACGCTGCGCCTGTCAGCCTACGCCTATGACATCGAGGACGGTGAGTCTCTGCACATTGGTCACAGCAGCAACCGTGTGCATGTGCCACCCCTTTCTCCTTCCGGGCCAGAAACCTTTGGGCCTTGCCCCATCTCTCTCTTCATTTTCTCTATACTAACCTTTCTCAGCCATCTCTTTCCTTTTTTTTTAAATTCTGAGACTCTTTAAAAATATTTCTCCAGTCACCAGACTTTGAGAGTGGTGACTCCCTGACTTCCCACACTTTCTTACCTTACATTAAACTCTGGAGGCTACAAGGGGACATGATAAGGGTACTTAGAACTCATGTTTCTTGCCTTAGATGGATGACAGCAAGCAAACTAGAGCCCAGGCTTCTGTCTTATGGAGCGGATTGAATTGCCCAAGCTTTGTAATCTCTGTCCGACATCAGCATCTCATAGCCGGAGGCCCAGGTCTGCGGCTGTATCTGTGGAAAGACCTTGGTTAGAAGGAAGAGAAGTGCACCAACAAATAGCAGCCAGCTCGTCCCTCAAAGGCCATCCCTATGTGGCGCTGAGGAATTTCATGGAGGGGGGGGGGGTCGCATTTGTTTAAAAGTAATAAAGAAACTTAGGTGAGCAGGAGAGGAAACTAGATCCTCCCACGGATGACACTGAGTCTGTGTCTCAGTGGGTGGTATGGCAGTGGGAGTCATATGATGAAGTCACTTCAGTCAGCTAGACCCTCCTAAGAGTGAGACTCAGGCAGCCGTGGCTGTCACAGAGGAGAGGCAGGAGCCAGGTGGTGGCTCCTAGCATAGCAGCCTGTGGCCCTTTCCTGCATTAGCAAATCCACTGCTCAGCCAGGAGCTGAAAGAGTTGCCCGTTCGAGGAAGATCATCTGTTAGGTTTTTGGTTCTGTTCTTACTCTCCAGACAGCACCTTTGACTCCAAGGAGAGGGGTTGGCAGGTGGGACCCCTACCTCTTAGAACTGTCCTTGATACGCCAGTCATCTAGATTGGCCTTCTGTCTTGCAGTGTGCCTGGAAAGAATTCCCTCAGGGTCTAGCCAGTTTGTCCGTGTTCATGGTTTTTCCCTTAGAGATATGCGCACCCTCACCTCATCCTCTTGAGAGTGTAGATGAAGGGTAAATCTGCTTCTAGAGGTCATCACCTTCATAAAAAGTTCTATTTTGGCTCATGGTTTGCAGGTGTTAGTCTGTGGCCCAGTGGTCATCTGTCTGTCTGTGACAGGGCAGCATGTGGTAGGACTGTACAGCCGAGCAGAGGTGCTCACCTCAATACCAGGAAGCTCCAGAGGGAGAAGGGACCAGAGTCCCACAATCCCCTTCAAGGCACACCCCAACAACCTAACTTCTCCCAATCGCTGAAGGCACAGCCTTTTAATTTTTAAGTACACGGGCCGGCACATTTGGTGGGAACAGTTCACTTGAGGCAATGCACACTTCCATCCTCTAAGACACTCCTGGTGCCGTAGGAGCTTGCTTAAGGCGTCCCCTATCCAGAAGACACTTTCCTAGTCATGCTGAAATGGGCTTCGTGGCCTTCCTGTCTCCACATGCCCCCTCCTCAGAGGTCTCTGCAGTCCTCTCTGGACATCCACCAGCCATCATGTTCCAGTTGCCCTGCCTGCTACAGTTGTGCACATGTAAGCCACGCGTCGTCACCATCCAACTAAAGTTCTCGTCTGCCTCAATGGAGTCACTCACATTAAATGACACTGGCAATTGAATAAATGCCACACACCTGTGTCATCCCACCTTGTCCTTCAGTGTGATTGTCAAGATAGCTCAGTCTAAGCCAGGTGACGGTGGTGGTGCACACCTTTAATTCCGGCACCCGGGAGGCAGAGGCAGAGGTATTGCTGTGAGTTCGAGGCCAGCCTGGGCTGCACAGTAAAACCGTGTCTTCATCTAGATAATCTCCAATCCGTCACTTTATCGGGTCCTCTATAACTTGTGATTAATCCGCAATGTTAGCCTGACTGGCTTTCCTGAGACTGGAGCCGTAGTGCAGTGGCAGACAGTGCAGGCTCTGGAGCCAGTCTCCTGTCTGCGATGCTCTGACCATGGGGAACTTGGGCAGGCAGCTTAGCCTGGCTGTGCCTCCCTGTGGAAGGATAGTAGCAGTCTGTACCTCTCCGGGTTGTATGAACACTAAATGAATGGATAGATATAAAGTGGTCAGAATTGTTTCTGGCACATAGAAAACGTTAGATTAAAAATTAAAGGTTTTTTTTTTCTTTTTCAAAAAGCAAAAGTAATAAAGTTGAGTTTGGGAAAGAGAATAAGAAACTACATTAAAGCCAACTGTAGTGGCACACTCCTATAATCCCAGCACCTGAGAGGCAGAGGCAGGAAGATCAGAGGTTCAAAGTCAGGATGGGCTACATGAATCCATACCTCCAGAAGAGAGAAGCATCAGTGATCAGTAAAACACACATAACTCATGCCTGTGGCAGTGAACTCTTTCACCAGACAAAGTGAGAGTCCTGTTCCTTTCCTGTGGGAGGAAGCGAGCCCCAAGAGGCTAAAGAGTCTGAAGGTTGGCGTCACACTTAAACTGAGATCTCACATTTCAGCTGTGCACTCGCATCATGTACTGCCTTCCCAGAGAAAGCAGTTTTCTGGAACATTCTTGGAAGTTACCTTTTGGCTGGGATCTCAGCCTAATTTCTGAAACTTAAACCCTTGTATTTTGTTACGATTTGAATAGGTTCTAGCACTGGTCAGCTAGGAGTCAGAGGTTGCGATCTGGATTTCTGTCTTAAAAAATAAGCAATAATAAGCAGTTAATGTTCTTGAATTATAAGCCTTAGGCCAGTGAAATGGCTCAGCAGGTAAAGGTGCTGTGGCCAAGCTGATGACCTGAGTTTGATTCCTTGAGAACCACATGGTGGAAGGAGACGCTCAGTCACTAGCCAATGGGTCGTTGGAAGGCAGCTAGTTCATGGGAGTGCTAACTTCGTCAGTAGCTTAACTCACAGATAGATAAACAAGTTAGTGGCATTATTGGGTAGCAACAGAAACTTTAGGAGGTGGAGCCTGCTGAAAACTGTAGTCACAAGGATGAACTCTGGGAATGTACTCGTTCCTGGCCTTTTCCCCATGCTTTCTCTGTTCCTTGCCATCTTGAAGGAGACATCTCTTACCCCACCACCATGATGTCCTGTGTCAGCAAGGCCCAAAGCAATGGAACCAGGTAACCTTGGGCTGAGGCATCTGAAATCATGAGCAAAGTAAACATTTCTTCTTAGTTGTTTTCCCAGCTTTGACAAAGCTGACTTAACATAGTAAGAAACATAGATAAAGGCATATGTCAGCTATTTTTTATAAATGAAGACAGTGTATTAGGGGTCAGGCAGATGGCTCGGTGGGTAAAAGCACTTGCTCTGAGGATCTAAGTTTGAATCCTCAGTCCCCACATTAAAAAAGCCTGGCTGGTGGCATGTCCTTGTGACCTTCCCTGGAAATGGGAAGCTTCCAGTTCAGTTGAGAGACCCACCTCAAGACAATAAAACAGAAAGCAAAAGAGGGGAATACACCCTGGTTTTCCTGTGCATTCATTCACCTGGACACTTAATGTGTGTGCACCATGCACATACAACACAGGGAGATGTGCCCAGGTCACCAGGGAAGAGGAAAAGGGAAGAAGAGCTGCTGCATGCCTTTGTTTCCTCTGCCGTGTCTGTCCCCTGGGTTTACCTTTGTTGGAGTCTCTATTGACAGTTGACAAGGTAACACAAGCGGCTCCTGATGTTAGAGGTCAGCTTCGGATCCTTGGCCTCTTCGTTTGTCCCAGCACTTGGGTTGGGAAGGAGAACGGGTCTTTCAAACGTTTTTGGCCTCACTCTCCTTGGGAGATAGCATCACATCACATAGGACTCAGTAAATGCCTGTAGATGTGGCTGAAAGCCCTAGTGCATCGTGTTTGGCCCTGGTGATATTGAAGCACACCCTGGGTTTTATTCAGTCTGTTGATGATCTGTGGAAAACTTCTTGTTGTTGTTTTATGTGAGTGTGTGTGTATGTGTGCCCACGTGTGCATCCGTATCAGCATACACGCCACAGCCCATGTAGAGTCAGAGAACAACTTTTGGGAGTCACTTATCTCCACCCACCTTGCTGAGGCAGGGTCTCTGTTACTGTTTCTTCTAACTCACACCGTACTTCAGGGTAGCTGGCCCACAAGCTTCCGGCCAGTTCTCCTGTTTATGCCTCCCATCTGTCTGTAGGAACCCTGGGATTGCAGGGTCCCACCACCACGCCCTGCTTTTCTCCAGGGCCCTGGGATTGAAGTCGGGTTGTCTGTAGCTATTACCTCCAAGTCAGCTCTCTAGTCCCTTGTGTTACTTTAAGCACGTGTTATTTTAGATGCTGCCTGCCTTGGACCAACCCTGGCTCGGGAGGGGTAGGCGCCCAAGGCTGTAGAGAGGAGTGGACAGTTCTTCCGGGAACTCTCAGAAGCCTTCCTGGCTCCACCCTGCATTTGTATTGGCTCTTGCCTCCCCCAGAACTGCTGCTGCGGTTTTCATGTGACCCCGTCTTTGTCCTCACACACTACTACTTTGTTTGCTGGCTCTGTCATGCAAGCCTCACATCTTCGCTCTGGACACTGATTGGTGGTAGCTCATCAACCTCCACACACCCCAAGGGGAAGTCCTCTACGCCAGACACAGGGAAAGGCCTCGGGCTGGCCTTTCTGGATTGCAGGGGGAGCCTGGAGCTGGGGCGGGGGTAAGGGCGTATGCAGTGGCATCCTGTGGCCAGCAAGTTCACAATTGTGGAGTTTTGCTCACGCCTCTTTTCCTTGCTTCTTGCTGTCTGCAGGCAAATTCTACTGTAAGCCTCACTACTGTTACCGACTATCTGGCTACGCGCAAAGGAAGAGGCCAGCGGTGGCTCCTCTGTCTGGAAAGGTAACGGCTTCCTTCTTGTGAGTGGGACCGTTAGATAGTCTTGTCTGTCCCGTGAGTGGACTTGAGAGGAGCTGCAGTTGACTGCAGACACACCTGCTTTATAAGCATCTAGAGGTGCCGGTCTCAGAGGCGATGCTTAGGGCTTATTCTGAACAGAAGGGCACCCTGCTGCTCACCACAACTAACGGCTGTTCCTTCCCCCGAGGTCACAGCCCTTTTCCTTATAGCTAGAGACTAGGTGGCCTCAGGAGTCCCCCTCCCCCTTTTTAAGCCCACACCCTGAGCATCTGAGGGCCAACCCCTGCTCCCTACACTGGGAAGGCCAAGCTGCCTGTAGCTGGCTGGCTCTGCCTGCTGCCTTTTAAGCCCTGCTTCCATGGGTTATTGTCTAAGCCCTCGACTTTTTCTTTTCTGCTTCAGTGAGACTGGTCTGTTCTCGTTTTCTCAAGGTGGCCTGAGTAATCTCATCACTTCATGGACAGCACGTTGACAGCATTCAAGCCGGTTACCCAATGGCTTGGGTTGACTGCAGAGGGATGGTGGGAAGAGGTGTAACAGTTGGCCTTCTGTGTCCGTGAAGTCTGCATCCTAGGTCCCATCCATGGAGGGGAAATACCACTTTGTACTGAATCCGTTCAGGCTCTTCTTTTAAGCAATGTAGTACAATAACCACTCACACCATACAGCAATTACACTGTTTCAGTCATCCGAAGAGCTCTCACAGTCGGCAGGAGAGTTCACATATGTCATGTCCATGCATCACAGATTTGATATCTGAGAGGATCGAAGACTTCTCTCCTAGGTCTACACAGTTCAGTTCTAACAGACAGACTAGCCAGTCTCGGGGGGTCATTGCCTCCTGAGTCTGGAGGCTGCAGCCAGAGTCACTGTTCTTTTTTCTCATGGACTCTTCTAGGAAGCCAAAGGAGCCCTGCAGGATGGCCCCACTGCAGATGCAAACGGACTGGCCAGCGTTGCCGCCAGCTCAGCCGAGAGAAGTCCAGGTAGCCTCACTTCCTTGTTTGGCTGGGTGGTGCGTCACTCTCTTGGCCTCTGTGATAAGGCCAAGGGGATGAGCCAGCACCTACAAACCAACATTTCTTCCATTGGGCACCAAGTAGCCCAAAACCCCCTGGACTCCTTTTTCATGTGTCAGCTGCTGGCGTTTGGGGTCCCCTTCCTCTATGGCCTGTCAGAGGTATTGGTGCAGATCGGAGGGGAGTTTCACTGGCAGACTGTGAGCCAGTGATGGTGCTGTCTGGTAAGTGGGGTTACCCCACACCCACAAGGCACACTGAGGTGCTTGGTACAGACCCTATAGGTAAACAGGAACCCAAAAGAGCTGCTATGTCCTTGACCCCGGGGAGAGCCCAGAGTGATAAGCTTCTATGTGACCCCTGTGTAGGGCTGGTTTCATGTCACAGCAATGTGTGACCGTGGCCCACAGTCTGAATGTGTTCACTGCAACTTGAAGTGTTTTGCGTCCCGTTCCCTAGCTGTGTTCAGTCCATCCATGTGACAAGGGCCACCCTATCCTAATCCCTGTACGTATCTGGGTTTCCAGTGACAGTCAGGACCCACATGCCCCACTTTCCTTACCATTTCCTGTGTCAATAGCTTCTTCCATCCTACCTCAAAAAACATGCCGACCCTGTCCATTGCAAGGCAGGATGGGGAGTGTTTGGCGCATGATGGCTGTAGAGAATTATCTTGCTTTTTAAAATTTCCCTGTCTGCCCTTGTAAGACTAGCCATAGTTCTGCATACTGCTGAGAAGTCCTGAGGCCCCTGTGGTGGCCCCAGACATCTCTCATGGGTCACTATGTATGAAGTCTACAGGGCTACATTCTCCTATATCACACATTTCCTCTTATTTAAAGCAAGTATATCTTTTTACTTTTCTTTTTTTTTATTTTACTTTTTTTTTTTTTTTGTGCATGGTTTCTGAGACGGATTCTTACTATGTATCCCTGGCTAGAACTGGATATGTTCCATCCACCTCTGCCTCCCAAGTGCTGGGATTAACAGAGTACACCACAATGCCCAGCTGCAGATATATCTTACACAGCCAGGTACAAACTCAAATAAAAATGAAAGATTATCAGCCAATGCCAGAAGCCACTAAGGAGCTGATGGATGCTTTCTGTGATGAGGGAGGGAGGAATATTTTCTTAGCTTTCAAATAGAGCTGCCTCTGTTAATGAAGGAAGGCGCTGACACAGCCCTTGGGCAGCTGTGCCAGAGGAGGGAGAATGTGCCCGGGCCTTGGCAGGGACACTTTGGGGGTGGGTTGTGTTAAGCCTCCAAGGCACAGAAACCCCAACCAGGTCCTGTGAACGTGACTTCCAGCTTCTCTATTCCCTTTTCATGCTCGGGGAAGCATTCTTAGATGCCCTGCTGGTGAGACTCAACAGTTTATAACCATGCCTAAGCTATGGGTGACTTGTAGCTCTAAGAAGTCTGCCAGCCCCTGGTGGTATTTCTCAGGAGTTGACACTCCCAGAGCACAGCCTGGCAGATGAGCGTGCCCTGGCCCCAGACACAGCTTTGGCTCTACACTGGAATGTACACACGATCATGTAAGAGCACCACCTAAGAGCTTTGCCAAGGAACCCGACTACTCACTCAAGCAAACAAAAGGCTCTGCTTTTCCTATGGATAAAGGGTGCAGGAGAGAGTTAGAAAATGATTTTCTAACACTCTAGGCTTGTGCATTTTGCCTCTCTACCTGTCTAAGGAAAGTGTAATGGGTTTCAGATTTTTTTTTTTTAGACACTCAAAAAATTAAAGGATCTATACATGAGGAGGACCATGCTCTCTATGAAACACTGAGAAAATACACTTGCCAGTGTGGTTAAAGACGCAAAACAAATAGGAACGGGCCTGAGCTAGAACAGGTTTGCAGAATAGCAAGAGACAGTCAAGATCCGGCACTCCAAAGTATCCCGTGCTGAATGAATATCCAAAGAGGGTAAGGCTGGCACTGTACCCTAGCCCAAGGGACCCCCTACAATAGGAGACCAGACTCTCTGTTTGCAAGTCATTGCCCTGAGTCCTGAATATGCTCAGAACCCTGGCTCTTGTTCTTGAGCTAACCTTTGTTAGCCACTGAAGAAGCGGGGAGAGGTTGCAGAATTATGAGTGACATTTTATAGTTGCCATGAGATAGGTTTCTGTTTCTTCTTTGGTAGAAATGTCTTTTTCAAATCCCACGTTAGCTTTGTGTGCTTGGTTAAACTTCCTCCAGAAAGCTTCAGACAAAACCCAGTGCCTCAGGCTTCCAGACTACGTCACAGAAGGGTTACTAACCTGATCCCAGTTTTGTCCCAATTGCCCATGCTCCCTGAAACCCACAGTGGAGGGGGAAGCAGGAAGAGCTTGGCTATGGCCAGCGGCCCTCCCTCCTGGTCCTGTACCTTCTTCATCTCATAGCTCTTCCCCCTTTCCTGTTCTTTCCCCTTAGGCAAGAATTAGTGCTGTGGTAAAAACAAAATGGCAGCCACAAAAATACCCCAAGATGACAGTATAACTCTCCTTAACCCCTTGTAGATCACGCTGAGTAGGCCTTAACGCATTGTCTTCTCTGGTAACCTCGTCTGCAGCTGCTGCTTGACTCCCCTGTTTGAGACACTGTTTCCAGTATTTCTGTTTGTAATGTGTGTTTAATATAGAAATCCTCTTTTTGTTCTCAAACCTGTAAATGCTCTGTTTCCAAACCACCTCTTCTCACTGCTGAAGTACATCAGTGGGCCTGGCACAGATTTTCTTACCCTGGCCTCACAGTACCTGCGTGGAGTTTAGGAGAAGTCTGGAAAAAGGACAGAGGGGAAAAAAAAAAAGCTAGGCGGGATGGCTGTTCTCTTGGGTCCATGCCCTTGGTTGCAGGTGGTTCCTTTTCGAGGTAGAGGAATCCCATTATGCAGAATGAAAAGTGAGGCACAAGGCACATGGGTGGGAAGGGGAAAGGAGAGCTTTTCTCCCTATGTGCAGTATCAGGAACATTTGCAGTACAGACCACAGAGAGCAGGAGGAACATGCTCCCTTCAAGGCTGCTGACAAACACCAGGACAGGAAGCGCTATGGAGCGGCTGCCATGCCTCCCGCATCCCACCCTGACCCTAGAGCCAAAGCTGAGCAGTGGCACTGTGTGAACCATGTACACACCTCTCAATCGTATGTCTGTGTTGTGTATGTGGGTTTCAGTTCAGTGTGTAGGCAGATACTGTTTATATATACTGTGCCCTAACTGGTAACAGTGAGACTATTTTCAAAGCTATTAGTCTGAAAGCCATAGGAACTTTCTCTGGAAGTTTACCCTGGCTTGACTCCCCCAGCATAGCCAGGATTCAGAGGGAGCCCAGCCGCTAGGCATGGCCTTATGTGGAGGCATAGATGTGGGCCTCTAAGAAGATGGGTGGTGCACACCCTTACACTCAGGTAATCAGTTTTCCTTGTCAACAAAGCAATAGTCTTACTGGTGCGGGGACCAGAGAGTCGCAGACACCTACTTTCCCTCAAGTCAGTCTGTGGGCTAAGTGTTAGCTCCACCGTGGCCATCTCAGATAGCCACTGTCTTAGCATTCACCGTGCCTGGCTGCTTCCTGCAGGACAATAGGACCCATTAGCCCCTCTGTGCCACTGAATACTAGCCAGTGAAGTAAGGGGTTCACTTTTAATCACCCTACTATTCCCTTGGGGTGAGGCAGGAGAGTGGCAGCAAATGATGCCCAAAACTGTGGTACTTAGAAGCCAGAGTGGGACAATGAGCTGTGCCAAGCAACACTTTGCTGTCCACTCTGACCTTTCCTAAAGCTTTTCATTTGCCCTTATTTTTAATCTGTGCTATTGTGAGTTTTTTTGGTGTGTTGCTTTGTGAGTTTTTTTATTTAATTGTGTAACTTTGTTTTTGCCATTACTGTGAAACCAAGGTGTTGTGCTTTAAGGTTTTTTTTTTCTTTTTGGGGTTTTTTTTTTTTTTAAACAAATGTTACATTCTTATTTAAGAGAATAAATTCCAAACAATCTTCAGGTTTCTGAGTTTTTCTTTTCTTACTCTTTTTTCTGATTGGAGGGTGGGAAGAGGGAGGCTCAGGCAGGTGTGGAGCGTGAGCTGTAGAAGCCACTGTTCCCCAGGGCCCTGACTTACGCTGAGGGGAGGGAGGGCACAGATGGCCGTGGGGACCAGGTGATCCACTTAGTGTAGTCCTGCTAATGCAAGGACCTTGTATGGGGTGTGGCACGGTACAGGATATCTTATTTTGCAGCAATTGTAAATAGAGAAAAGCAAGGAAAATGTTATTCTTGCCCATGTCTCCCCTGTTTAGTGAGCCGGCATGAGGGACCTCAGGATTGGCAGATGGAGGATAAGTATCTACACAGAGTCCAAGGCTGCTGAGAGGACATAGCGCCAGGCACCATCCTCAGAAGTGGGACTGGTTAGATGTCTTCCCCCGAATTGGTTTGCTTGCTAGGATACCCTCAGGCATTATGACCAGGGTCCTGATAACACTGAGGACCCTTTGCTCCATAGCTGGCGTCTCTCCTGTGCTGTATTAGCAGGGACCTGAGTTCCATTTTCTAGTTTCATTGGACTGCCCTCAAGCCTGGAGAGGCCAGCCTGTCCCACTCAAGCACGCTGGAGCTAGCCAAGGAGTAGTGAAACTTCTGCCATGTGAGCATGCCAGCCACGGGAAATGCAAGCCAAACGGCCAAAAGCAGGCTCCTAGGTGGCTGAGGTACTCTATACTGAGTTCATTCCGTTGGGTCCAGGGAAGTCTGAGTATTGTCTTTGCTGGCATTGTCCGGCCAGCAGCCGACCTCTGAGAAGTTGAAGAACATCAGGCTTCTTTGTGGAGTTGGCATGTTAGGCCAGGACCCTTTTTTGCCACACTAACCGACCCCTCTTTCTTTGACATAGTGTTCTGTGCCTGCAAAGAAATTGAGGAGAGAGAGGTGGCAGGTACAAGGACTGACCAAGAGCCAGTCATAAGAGAGGATCATATAGG